CAAGCCAGAGGTGCAGGGGCAGTGAGAGGCTTCACCGGAGACAGAGGGGAGAGCAGAACAGGCATATTGTTGAAGTGCACTGCTGAGGGGAGCAGTGGGCGGGTCAGGAGAGGTCTGCCATGCCATGTGGTCACCTCCGGGGCAGGCGGGGATCGAACTCATGTGGAAGTGGCTTTAGCTTCTCAGTGCTGTGCTTTAACCCGCTGTGCCACCAGGGAGGGCCAGGGCAGGTTTTATTTTAACAATCACAACAACAAACCCTTGGTAGGCACACGTGCTAACAGAAGCAAACACATCTGTTTGCCTCATGTGACATGCACGCCGTCAGCCGGCACCCCCTAATACATGGACATGGGGCCCAGTGCTTCCCACCCAATGTAGGATTTTCCTCTCCAGTCTCCCTACTTAACACCTCAGCAACGGGGTGGCCTCTTCCTCACCTGGCTCGCTATTCCATTATACAAATGGCTGGGTGTTGGCAGAGTCTCTGGAATTTACAGGAGTTTGTCCTTAGCCCCTTTGGAGAAGTGAAGAGTAAGACATTTAGGTCTTTCAATATGTTCCATGACCTTGGCTTCTGGGCTTGTCACAGTCCAGTTTCCCTGCTTTCAGACCTGCCCCTTGAGAAGTGGCATCTGACAGGCAGCCCCGGCAGACACCTTGTGACTTGCGTCCAAGATGTGAAGCAAAGGGAACATGTGTCCTGCCAAGCCATCTCTTCTCCCTTTGCCATATATTTTGGAGAGGTCAGAGGAGGGGGCAAGGATAGATCTCACTTACAGCTACGGCATCGCTGTGTGACCTGGGTCCTTAAGATGCCCTGAGAGGCATCTTTGACCTGGTGGTGCAAAGGGTTAAAGTACAGCACTATGAGGCCAGCCACAGCCGCTGCAGCATGAGTTTCATCCCAGACCAGGGAGCTGACCACATGGCGCTGCAGACCTCTCCTGTCTCACCCGCTGCCCCCCTTAGCAGTGATTTCGGTCACTCTGCCTGTTCTGCTCCCACCTCTGTCTCTGGTGAATCCTCTCACCGCCCCTGCACCTCTGGCCTGTACCCAGTTCTACATGCATAAATAAATAAATCTAAAAAAAAAAAAGATGCCCTGAGAACAGCAAGATTTGGAGCCTACTTTGGAGCTCAGCCCATCTTTCCTCCTCAACCTGCCCCACAGGCAGCCCACTCCTCAGCCTCCCATGAGATGGCCAGAAGCCTACAACATTCCTCAGTGTCTGCCCAACCCTCTGGACACTGCGTGGCCTGCTAGGCCAGGTCAAGGGGATGCTACTGGCCAGTCCAGCCCCCATCTCTTCAGTGGGGCTGTCGTTTTCTAGCCCTTTCTCCACACCCCAGTAGGGTCAACCCTCGCACTGGGCAGCTCAGTGCTGCTGAAGTTTTCCTATAAGATACACTGCCAGCCCTCACTCAGTGAGGCAGAGGGTGCAAAGGAGTGCGTTGGCACCCCCAGTCTTACAGGGGAAGGGAAACTTACCAATGTCCTCCCTGGTCCCCAGGCAGTGAGGAGGAGCTGGCCCTGTTCCATGAATTTGACTTACTCTCCTGCCTCCTCCAAGTTTTGTCCAGCACCCTGCCTGGCCCTCTAGGTGTGTGACCAGAGTTGGGGTGACTTCTGAGTAAAGGTGACGATGGAAGGGGCTCCCCGAGGGTCGTGCATCACAGGGCCAAACCTGGAGTGCCTTTGATCTAGAAAGGAGGGCCCCAAACCAGGTCCGGGGATCCTGGGAACAACTTTGTGGGTGTTCCCCTTACTGAGAGAGGGCTCCCCCAAGGTGGCCTTCTCCACAGACAGTGGGAAGGTGTGACTGGTTGCTGCCCTCTTCCAGGCCCCCTAACTCTTCTCACCCAAGCAGAGGGTGTTAGGAAGTGTGAAGCCCCTTGGCTTCCAGATGGAGTTGTCCTCTCTGGATTTCCTTCGGGGTGGGCCACTGAGCGAGAAACCAGGTGAGAGGAGTGAAACCGTCCCTGCTCCCCAACCCCCCTCTGTCTGTCTCCTGCCTTCCTCCCTGTCTCTTCCTCCCTATTTCATTTGTATTTCCCAGGCCATTGTCTCATCAGTTTATCTCAAGTCTCTTATCTCATAAAGGCCAGGTTTTACTAGTTTTTCTCGAAACTATAGAGCAGATGAGAGTTGACATTCAAATTTGTTTTCTAGAGGAAATCATTCCCCAAAGTGTATTCAGTCCTAGCATGTATGTTGTTTGTCTTTCTGCTATAGAAGCTTTATGGACTCTATATTGATTTCTCTCCCCTGCCCGGGAAAAGGCATATCTTACTGAGGCCCAGACTTAGGATGTGTGGATGTGTGTGTATACTCTTACATGCTTGAGTTTTTTGTATATATACACATATGCACATGATTTTCTGTCTATTTTACATACACATCTCATCACCCAGTTGTACGGATTTTCACAAAGCCAGCACAGCCCTGCAACCGGTCTCAGCTCCAGAACACCAGAACATTCCAGCATACTGAAGCCCCGCTCCCCGCCATCTCTTCACTGCACATGCCACTGAGGGTGGGGACACCGTCCTGGTGTCTACTAACCACGGCCAGTTTGGCTTGTTTCTGACTGTTCTATCAGTGGGGCCCGACAGTGCATCCTACTTCTCTCTCTCCAGCTACCTGTTCCTCGGATCCATCCCTCTTATGTAGTTTGCTACATAAAAAAATTATTTATTCATACAGAGCTGGGGTACAAGCCAGAGGTGCAGGGGCAGTGAGAGGCTTCACCGGAGACAGAGGGGAGAGCAGAACAGGCATATTGTTGAAGTGCACTGCTGAGGGGAGCAGCGGGGGGGTCAGGAGAGGTCTGCCACGCCATGTGGTCAACTCCGGGGCGGGGATCAAACTTATACTGAGGTGGCTGCGGCCAGCTTGCAGTGCTGCGTCCTAACCCGTTTCGCCACTAGGGGGGGGCCCTAATGTGTTACATTCTTAACACCATCTCCTATCTCCTGTGCTCCAGATGAGAGTATTAGCAGTTTTGACCAGTTTTTGCCAGCCTGGTCATTTCTAAGCAGTGAATATTCCCCCCCGTGGCTGGTATTTCATCCCGGAGGGGTAAGCGCTTTCTACCTTGCCCCCTCCACCCCAAGATGCTTCCCTGGCTCTGGGAGACCCGAGTGCTCAGGGTTCAGTGGTCAGGGGTGAGCGCTGGAGGAGGGTCAGGCACCTTGGGCAAGGTTCTGTCTGTCTCTGCAGGGCTTCTGCCAGGTTGCTACCGGCCTGGGCTTCGGTGCAGCGTGGGTCCTCCCTGCCCACATGGCCCAGGCCAGAGGGGCTCAGGCAGGTGAAGAGCTCAGGCCGTGTCGTGGATGAATCTCAGAGGTCTGCGCATCTATAAAGTTGGAGAAGACTGTGTTTTCATTTCAAGATAATAAAGCAAATTCAGCAGGTATATTCTGGGTCATGTGACTCTGGCTACTTCTGATGAGGCCACTTAAGGATGTGGTGAAAAAGGGTGTGTGTTTGCGTGGGGCTTTCCAGGGTGGATGAGGGCCCATTTCCCATCCGGCTCTCAGCTGCACAAGGGCCCCTGTGCCATCTAAGTGAGATCAGGCCTGCCAGCCACTTAGCCCGGTGCTTAATGAACATCTCAGTCACCCGCCACTCCATCTGTGTGCATTATCTGGGTGGTGCCAAGGCGGTCCACGCTCGTGAGGAAAAAAACAAAAGTGGACTTAACAGGGAAGCAAACTTAGAGCCGAGCAAAGGCCCAACGACATTATAGCGTGCTGAATAAGTGACATGCTTGCAGCAATTTAAATAAAAAAAAATTGGTGTGATCATGGAGTCACGGATCAGGAGCGTGAACTCACAGGTGACCTCCTGCTGTGCGCCCCGATTATTCAGCAGATTAGCCTCAAACCCAATGAAATCAATGTTGCTAATATGATTTTCATTGGCTTTATCATTTTGTGCACGTCATTTGTCTATGTGTTTGGCTTTTCTATGATGGAATAATTTCAAACTTCCCATTCCTCACTTACCTGGCTCTGGCAAAGGCCTGCATGCTCATGGCTTCCTGGGGAGCTTGTGTGCTCACCTTCCCTTCTGGTGCCCTGTTCTGCAGGTGCAGCGAGAGCATTTTCCCCTTAGTGTTTGGCGGTTGCTGTTTTTACGCCCAGTTAGTCTCTGGCCAACTACAGTCTGCCTCTCTTCTTCATTTGCTCCAAGACTCACCAGACTTTTGTCTGCGCGTAAGCCTTATAGAAAGTTTAGGGATATTCTGTGGGGAGGGGTGAAGAGCAGAGAGGGTGGTTTCCTTCCTAGCAAACAATGATTAAATCAGATGTCTGACATCTCTATTCTTACATATTTATTCTCACTGATGTGCTACTTGAACATTGCTTCCTCCTCGCTCGCCTTTTATTTCCAAATTTCCAGCCCTTTGTAGAAGATTGACTCCTGTCTTTTTCTGTAAACTACTCTTTAGAATCTCTCCTTGCCCCTAAACCAACCTGCTGAGCGGACCACCCCAGACTGACTTTCCCAGAAGAGGAATGTGACCTTATCTGATCACCTTTTGGGAGAAGTAGGCATTAAAGATGACAGTCCTTTTCATTTATTCATAAAAACAAATTTGCAACAATTTATTAAAAATCGATACCATGCAATAAGGGTACGAGAAATTCCTCATTTACATTGGATTCTGGCAGTTCCAGTCTAATTTAAAGCATTTGTGCACTAACATCATTGGAAAATGCCTTCAGGCTGAAGTCTCTTCGGAAATGTACGGTGTGTTTGCTGCATATAAAAGAACAGAACCGTTAAATAGCTAGAGTCACTTCTGTGGGTCTTGTTATTTTTCCAGGAAATTAAATATAAAATGGGTGAACCTACAGTATCATTAAGACAGAGGATGTACTTTGTGTGTTAACCTAGGAGACGGCACGTTCGGGAGTCACGTAAGTCACGACGCACACACTCGCCTCCAGTGGTCCAATACTTAAGCTTTTTGTTTTTTTCTGCGATGCTGGAATAATTATTTCTATGGGTATTTTTCTTGCGTGTGTGTGTGTGTGCGAGGGCACACGCGTGTGTGTATACATTATGTACAATGAATTGCCTCTTTCCTTTTGCAAAATGAATGGGCTCCTTTAAATTAAGTCTGGTTTTGGGGAAATCAAGAGGGCAGATAAATACTGGTGAGACACAGGGAGTGACAACACCGGTGTTTAGTGCCTACACAGAGAATGACTTCAACTTGACCTATGATGTGTTATCAATGTTCTTTTCCCTAAAAGCTACGTATGGTACCTCCATAACCTCTCTTTGGGGGAGGGGGGAGGGGAAAGCTATGCTACATGAAATAAGGTGTTCTGAAATGTTGGCGGTGGTGAGATTCCCGTGGGCCCTTTTGTTGAAGTCTGGTTGGTGACAGCAGCGTGTTCCTGACATCAGTGGTCTGGGAAGAGATTATTGCCTGCCTGTTGAAGCTGCCGTTAGGTTTCTTTAGGGAGGGAGTGGCTGCCTGGCTGTGCCAAAGTCCTGGACCTTGACATTCGGGCCTTTCTTCAGCAAAGAATGAACCTGTTTAGGAATGTCACAAAGCCCTCAGGAGTCTCTCTGCAGCCCAGAGGGTGTGGTGGGGGGCTGTGCTGGGGGTTTCTCTGGCCACCCCCTGGGCTGTCCTGAGGGCTGAAGGTCGGAGTGACACTGATACCTCACGGGTCAGGCTGCTTCACTGTTCGGTATGAAGCTTTCCTGGATGAGATCACATTTTGATTCTCAGAGTGACCCAGTGAGGTAGGCAGGACGGGTGTTATTTCAACCCCAGTTTGTTAGGGAGGGGACACCGAGGCTCAGCGAGACACCAGTGACTTGCCCGAGGTCACAGTGGAAGTCAGCAGTGGAGGGAGGACTGAACCCAGGTTAGTCTGACTCTTGGGGGTTTGATGAAAAGGGAAAAGGGAGGTCTTATGTGTGAGAATCAGTGTGCTGTCTGCGCACCCCTGTGGTCCTCAAGGGCAGAGTTCACTGGCTCTGGGGATGGAAGGCTGCCTTCTGGAAGCCAGGGGAAGCCCTTAGCCAGTAACCCTCTCCCCGGGACCCCCGACGACAGGGATGTCTTTTAGTGGAATACCCCAGATTCCCTTCCCAAAAACAAAGTCAGTGGAAAGAAAACAAAACAAAACAGAATAGAACAAAATCACCCCAGCCAGCCCTTGGGCCCTTGTGAGAGAGGTTAAAGTGCACAATCTTTCCGGATGGTGTTTGCTGGGAACAGACATTCCGTGATTAGCTCGGGTGGTCCCCCTGGTTACCAGGAACACCTGATACAAACACGAGGACATGGCCAGTGTGTGGGTGTGTGACCGACTGTGTGTGAACGCCACAGAGCGAGTCTGCAGTGACATGCCCTAAATCCCCAGGGTCCCGGAACGGGTGTTATTGTGTTAATGTGTGGCATTTATCAGAGAGTAAGTTTCCACCAGGAAGCATGCGGGGCAGCTGCTCCCGTGCTGTGCCCGGCGGCCCTCCTGCAGACTCCCAGCTCCAGGAAGGCTGGGCTTGTCTGGACTGGCAGCGGGGGACCTGGCTGCCCCGTCCACCTCCTTCCCCAGAGGGGAGAAGGGCTGGCCTGGGGGGCCACGGCCAGTGATGTGTGCGCATAGCGGCCGAGGCGGTTTCTTCAGAAGCCCCTCGCCCCTCCCCAGGCGGCTGCGCGCCACTCAGTGACTGCTAGCTGGCGTTCTAGCGACCCTTCCTCTGGATTTTCTTTTCACAAAGTTTCCAATATCCCAGTTCCTCCTGTTTGCAGATATTAAGGAAGAAATCATTTCCGTCCCTCTTCTCCGTGGAAGGATAAAAACGTCACGAATAAGGCGCGAGGTCACGTGCCAAGTGCCCCTGTCCTGTCCACCTGAGTGCCCTCTAGCAGTCCCGTCAGGCCAGCGTGGCGCCCAGCTTCTCCGCAGCCAGAGCCGACAGGGTTCCCGTGGCAGATGCCTCTGCTCCGTGTGGTTCTGTCAAGGGCGAGGCCCCGGCCCCAGGCCTCCCACCCTTACAGGCCCGAGACCATGACTCGGAAGGAGGGTGGCACGTGTCTGTGGCGGGGGCTGGCGGTGGGGCTGACGCAGGGGCTGACGCAGCTGGCGTCCACGCCTCCGATGGACGGGAGGTAGGCGTGGTGGAGGATGGGGAGCTGGAGGGACAGCCGGCGCTGGATGCTGCGGCGGGGAGAGAATGAGAGGAGGGGGGTTAGTGAAGGCTCTCGGCTGCTCACCAGAGTCCCGCCGACTCGCTTTGGCTGAGAAGCTGATGGAAGGCGCATGCTTTTCTCTGAATCCAAGGTGGGTCCACCCTGCAGCCGCCCAGCGGGCACTTCATGCAGCCTACACACGCCAACAACAGCGCTGACTTCACACGCTACATAAGGAGGACGTAGACTTGGGTACTCGGCCAGGATCTGGGGGCCGTTAAGCTAATGGTGCGGCAGGACTCCTGAGAACAAGGCTCCGAACCTTTCTGGCAGGGTCTGCTGCAGACCGGTCTCCTCCTCTGCATTTGCAAGCTCCACATGGCCTTGGCTTTCAGTTCCATCCCTGGCAGGCTCTGGGGGAAGGCCAGACTCTGGCTTCTATCAATTGCAGTGCTTTGTGTGGGGGGCAACCCATCCACCCCACACTTTATCCCCAAAGGATGTGCCCCCAGAGTGTATGCAGGCCACTGATGGTGTCCTGAACGGATGGTGTAGGGGTTCAGAAAATGTCACCACTAAACATGCATTTGGGCATATCGAGTATGTACTTGAGAAGCAGTCATCCCAAAGGGACACTCTGACCTCCTCTGTGCCCGGAAGTCCCCAGGTGAAAGGAACCCTCTCTGAACCAGGAGACTGGCAACTTAGGGCCCAGAAGCCTCTATAACCAACCTGGTTACTTCTTCGCCATTTTCCACTGTCACCTCAAAACCAATCCCCTTTACCTCCACTTTTTCTTCAGACTTACTGTTTCTGTGACCAGAAGGCATAGAAGCTTCCTGCTTATGGGGCTTCTCTGAATCTTGTATCTTTGTGGGGTTCCCATATGTATATATGTGACTTAGAACTAAGTCTGTTTTCTCTCTCTCTCTCTCTTTTTTCTGTTTTATGTCTATTTAATTAGTAAGCCAGTCACAGACCCTGGAAGGGTAGAAAGGAATGTTTTTCCTCCCCTACAATGGGGGCCAATGCTTTGCTGTTGGACAAAGAGCTTCTTTGGAAAAAACAGGTATTTATGAGAGTAGAATATTGGAGGTGACATTTTTGAATCAAAATTAAACTTGTGCAATGTCAGCTATGACCTATTTCTTAAGGTAGGATGGTGGGGACACAGAATTCAGGAAAAAGGGGAGCTGACAACGTGGGAAAAGGTACCCAAGGTAAGCGCCCCAGTCAGGACGTTTGCCTGCACAGGAGGACATTGTCTGTGGTTGTCTGTGGCATTTGTTGTCTGGAAGGATCCTGCTAGGCTTCTCATACACGCAGCAGACACTTACCAGCAGCTTACTCATTACTGGGCCTGTATTCTCTCAGGGGTGTACGGGGGACCAGTTAAGGATTCATACCTTACTCTCCAGGTGTTTCCACGTCAGTGGAGGGAACCACAGGCAGACCACTGTCACAGCACGTAGCCGTCAGTGGCTGCTTGAGTGTGAGCCAGCCGTGGGGCTATTTCGTTGGTAGGCTATCAATCCTAAAGGGCCCCAAATGTACTGTAGCTGGTAATTCGACTGTCTTTGTTGGTTCTTCACCTGTTTTGTCACTTCCAAAGGGCCAAGTTTCAGAGTTGAGCTTTCTAATCTCTGCTTCCAATCTGCTATAAGCTGGGAAGAACTAAAAATTGCCAGTGGGAACAAAGCTGACTGAGGAGTCCAGGTCCTTACTGAGATGTCCCTTCTCACTGAGTCTACCCTGGCCGCCTTATTTAAAACCATACTTGCTAACTCCTTCCCTGCTTCATTGTTCTCCAAAGCACCTATCATTTAACATCCTGTATCTGACTTTTGCAAAGTGAATTATTATTCCCTTTGAAAGGAGAGAGACTTGTCTGTCTTCTTCACTGTGGAATCTGACACAGCGGTAGGTCTCAGCAAGTTGTTGCTCTCAACAAGGTCACATTTTATACGTAACGGAGACTGTGTGTGACAGTGGAGAACAGGGGATTTGAGGCTGGACAGACCCAAGTTCAAATCCTATTTCCAGCACTTAACAACCTGAGTGAAGTTTCATAAGTCACCTTCCCCTTTGGAATATTCGTTGTTCTCATCTGTGAAATGAGCATTGTCATTCCACTTGCATCAGGAATTGTCATGGAGGTCCAATGACACAATGCATGTGAAAATACGGTGCAGCTTGGAAACTTGGGCAGGCTTAATTATTCTTCCGCAATCATCCTCCAAGAGAAGGTACTTACTGTTCTGGGGAGTTTATATCTTCTATAGGATCTTTGCATGTTCGAGAGGGCTCTGTTGTGTTCCACTGTAGCTGGGGATTCTGATCGAGGTGATTTTTTAAAATGGCCTTTCCCCCATCTGAATGCAAAACAACAGTACCATTACATTCTGTTACCTTAATTGTTGAAGCTCAACAATACACGATTTCAGGATGCTGCCAAGGAGAGAGAGTGCAAAAGGACCCCTCTTCTCGCTGTGTTGGCCAAGCTGTGGTCTCTGTAGAGTCTCCCAGAGACAAGGCTGCGAGAAGAGGAGCCACCGCCAGGGATAGAAGTGATGCCACCGTGGGCATGATGGCACCCCGAGGCCCTCCTTTTCTCCAGGATAAAAAGGGAGAAATTAAGTTGGTCAATTTGGAGATGAGAGATTCTAATTTTAAGGCCATTTTTCACTGGGCCTGAGGAATACAGTGACACAGACAAGAAAAAAAAATTCCCTCCCAGGTATTATTTTCTTTAAGGTCTCCTTTAGCCTCCCTGGTGGCTAAAGGGTTAAGTTGCAGTCCTGTCACCCCTCTGGCCTGAGTGCTACAGCTGACCCACAGATGGCTGGACAAATGGCCCCTATTTTGCCCACTGCTTCCCTCGGTCATGTATTTCAGTCAATCTGCCTGTTCTGCTCCCTACTCTCTCTGGTGAATCCTCTCACTTTTTGTACTTCTGGCGTACCCCAGTTTTTCCACGCAAAAAAGAGAATAAATTGTTGGTCGGAGTATAAATTAGTATAATCTTTTTGAGGGTCCTATCAATAAGTACCCAGCAATAAAGTTAAGTATTTTTTTTAAGGATTTATTTATTTGTGCCTACAGAGCTGGGGTTACAGGCCAGAGGCTCAGGGGTGGTGAGAGGCTTCACCAGAGACAGAGTGGGGAGCAGAACAGGCAGATCGATGAAGTATACTGCTGAGGGGAGCAGCGGGCAGGCCAGGAGAGGTCTGCTGCGCCATGTGGTCACCTCCGGGGCAGGCGGGAATCGAACTCATGTGGAAGTGGCTTTAGTTCCTCAGTGCTGTGCTTTAACCCGCTGCGCCACGTATTTTTTATCCAGAAGTTCCACTCCTAGGAATTATCCTAGGGCAGTAATTTATGGATATGTGTGAACATCCACAGAAGACGTTCAAGTCAGCATTGTTTCCAATATTGAAAAGTTGGAGTGAAGCTGAATGTAATGATGAATTAGTTCCATACTAAATATATATGTGCTAATATATATCAAAGAAAATATTGGGCGGTTGGAAAAGTCATGGCACATTTTTGTATACAAAACAGAAAAAACATGTCATGACTTTTCTGACAATCTAACACACACACACACACATACACACTCTCTCAAAGAAATACTGTGTAGCTACAAAATGATTATGTAGGTAAGTAGGTACTTCACTCTTCTTTGTGCTTCAGAACCACCAGGGGGTGAGACTTAATGAACTATAAAACATGGAAACCTGGCCCCTACCCAAGGGATTGTGTTCCCTTGGGGTCGGTGAGAGCCCTGCATTTATTCCTCCCAGCAGTAGACAAACCTTACACGTCTGTCATTTTGCACTCACGTGAGTACAGACCTTAGTCATAGATTCTGTATTTAGCACTCGTCTCCTTGCTAAAATTTACTTGTCACCCCCAAAGCAATCTTCAGATGCTTTCACTGTCCTTTGCTGACACAGAGTGTTGAGAAATATGAGTTGCCCGATGTGCACGCTCTCAGCTGAGGTCACACAGGCGCTGGCTTCTTGTGTGAGTTATTATTCTGTAATTAATTTCTTCTTTTTTTGTGATTTATGGAGTGCCACAGATCCCACATTTTTGTGTTTTGTGCTGATGACTTGGTTGTTTAAGATGCCCCCAGGTGCACTGCTGTCTCGTGCCCCTAATCTGCGATGTGCTTGATGGAGAAAATAGGGGCGTTCGGTCAGCTGGTTCAGGCGTGCGCCACACTGCTGTTGGCAGCGAGCTCCATGCTAATAAATCAATACCTAGTAAATAAGATGTCTTCAACAGAAACACGATAAAACAAAGTTATGTAGTGACTGGTTGACAGAAAAGTCAACCTGCAGGAAGGAGAGTTGCAGGAAACCTAACTAGCCTCTTACTTCTCCCAGGATCAGTGGTTCAGCACTTGAGAATCCATGGCTCATAGCTAGTTTGCAAAGCATAATTACTGTGAATAACGAGTCGACGAAACACCCTGAGGGTAGATTCCAAAAGTGTAGTGCTGGGTCTGAGCGATTTCTATTCTGAGCATGTCTGTTTCCCTGAACTCTCAGCAACTTTCTGATCCCTGATCTCTGCTAGTCTTACAGGTGAAATGGCACCTCATTGCAGACTGATTTATACTCACTTATAAGGAACACGCTTCACTGTATTCTCATAAGCATAACCAGTTGTATTTACTTATTTTTTTAAAAGATTTATTTATTTATTCATACAGAACTGGGGTACAGCCCAGAGATGTGGAGGGTGAGAGGATTCACCAGGGACAGAGTGGGGGGCAGAACAGGCAGACTGACGAAGTACACTGCTGAGGGGAGCAGCGGGCAGGTCAGGAGGGGTCTGCCACGCCATGTGGTCACCTCCGGGGCAGACGGGGATCGAACTCATGCGGAAGTGGCTTTAGTTTCTTAGTGCTGTGCTTTAACCCGCTGTGCCACCACGGAGGGCCTGTATTTACTTTTATGAGGATTCTGTCCACTTTTCTTGTGGGTTGTTGCTTTTTTCTTATTAATTTATATATAATTTCGACACTTTCACCGACACTGGCGATCTTTTAAAATTCTGCCAAAATAGAGGCAAGATGAGGCTCGCCGGTTTGGGCTTGCATTTCTCCAGTGGCTGGCGAGAGTGAGCGTTGTGCTGTGGCTCACGAACCCTCCCTTTCCTGGACAGTGTGGGTGCAGGTGGGTGACAGCACAGTGTGCAAGTGGGAGCTGCTGCAGTGAGCGGTGGAGACAGTGCTGGAGACAGGTTCACATGCAATGACTTACACTTTGCCCTTACATATAAGGGATAAACACATTATACCTTACACTGTGGTTTGATTTTTTCCACTTAGGATGGCTTTTATACTATTCAAATTTTTCTTTGGTTGTTCAGTTTATCAATCTTTTCTCTCATGGCCTTTGTGTTTTGCATCAAACTGAGAAAGTCTTTCCCCTCTCAGAGATTATAAATAAATTCTCTTCTTATGGTTTATTCTAGAAATTTTCTGTTTTTTTTTTTAACATTTATATCTTTTATCCATTTGGAACTTAATTTTGTGTAAGGTGTGAGGTAAGGCTCTAACTTAATTTTTTTCCAGATGGCTACTCATTTAGCCCATTGAAATGTACTGAATAATCCATTCCCTGCCCCCACTAATTTGAAACACCCACCAGATACTGCAATTACTAGGAATAATTTTTATATGTTAAATCTCCTTGCTGCTTAAACTCAATGTAAGCATTTTACAGTCAACATCCTCTATCATAAGAATTTTATATTAGTGCTTTTATAAGAAAATAATTATTACTCATGTAATAAGAATGAAAAACGAACAACCTTTCATTCACTAAAAATGGTTTTATCATAAATGAATGTATTCTGATGACAAAATGCAAATGATAAAGGCACCTACAAATGAAAACATCCCTTCCTACCCCCCTCTGCATAAACTGATCCCTTTCACACAGCTGGATACTGTTAACAACTGGGTGTTTGTCCTTCCAAGCTGTTGAACCCCCTCGCCCAGGTACACACGTGTGTGCATGTATGTGCACATCTAAGCCGGCCTCCACTGTGCCATCTGACCTTGGCGTTCTCGCCAGCGCTGCAGACAGACCGACCTACCTTGCCCTTTAGGTAGCTGGGCTGCGTGGATCATAATGAACAAAGCCACCCCAGATACAACTATGCAAGTAAGCCCAAGTTTTCCCTGCCTACAAATAATGAGCCCCATCTTCACTGCAGAGCAGGTATCTCCAGGGGGCAGAGCTCTGCTCATGGACTCACTAGGTCACGAGGTTTAACATCAGACATTTGGAAAGAGCCAGGCCCACTCCCACAATGCTGCAGGAGACGCCCATTTCGACACTTTCACCGACACTGGCGATCTTTTAAAATTCTGCCAAAATAGAGGCAAGATGAGGCTCGCCGGTTTGGGCTTGCATTTCTCCAGTGGCTGGCGAGAGTGAGCGTTGTGCTGTGGCTCATGAACCCTCCCTTTCCTGGACAGTGTGGGTGCAGGTGGGTGACAGCACAGTGTGCAAGTGGGAGCTGCTGCAGTGAGTGGTGGAGACAGTGCTGGCCGAGGACAGCGTGGCCCAGGCAGGCACGGGAATGCCAGGCACGTCGTGTTCTTGTGCAATGGGAACCCCAGCGCTGGGATCCGAGGTCGGGGTCCAGCACTCTGAGGCGCAGCTGGTTAGTGGGCGGTACTGTACAGCAGAAGCCCCAGGTTTCGGCAGGGTGGGCCTCTAAATGGACTCTCTGGAGCACGAGGGCTCCAGATGTTCCAACAGGCTGTGTGAGTCTGATACCAGCTCCCCTTCCTCTGGGGCCCCCACCTCCTACCTGTGCTCTCGGTGAAGTTCCCCAAGTTGAGGATGTCGTTGAGCTCCTGGTAGTGGTTCTGTTTAATGTAGGTGGTCTTTTCGGGTGTGTCCTGCAGTTGCATGGTGACCTCTTCCAAGTCTTTATCCAGCTAGAAGACAAAGGCTGGAGTTGAGCCTAAGTCCTAGCCCAGGCCCAGCCTCAGCCCTGGCAGCTAGACCTCGAGGGCTAGGTGCAGTTCACAGGGTCACAGGTCGGGGTCCTGGGCTGTTTTCTGGGGGGCATGGAGAGCCAGAGGGCTGTGACATGTGGGGGGAGAGAGAGCAGCTGCCGTTCCGGGACAAGCTCAGGGACAGGGCGTGGGCTTGGCAGTGGGGTGCTCTGTGCAGGCTAGCCGCTTCATGGAGGAGCCAAGCAGGCCCAGGGAGCAGGCAAGGCCTCGGAGCATCAGAACGCAGGCTCTGAAGTTGGACAGACTGAAGAGCGAACCAGGGCTCCCCACCCTGACCGTGTGCTTGTTGGTGAGAAAGGAGCCTTAGTGCTTTCCCTTGTCGAATGGGGTAATCTGTCTATTTTATAGAATCGTAAAGAATTAATGAGATCATGCATTGGAAATTTAGCCTGACACATACAGCGGTAAGTGCTAATACAACAGTTGCCTTAAGTATTATGATTGGGACCTAGTAGGACCCTTGAGGGGAGGACAGGTCTGCAGGGCTGGTGGGTTGAGTCTCTATCAGGCGCTCAGGGCAGAGGGGGCTTTTCCGGGGCTGGGGGGTGGGGTGGGATGTGGGGATGGTTAACATGAATGGATTCCAGTTGAGTCAGGCTTTAGAAATATCAGATATAGCTGCTGGGGAATGTTTGAGTGTTGGGAAGGGTGGCCACTGCCAGTGAGGAGGTTTGTGGCAAGGGAGATGACCTTATAAACTTTAAAGTGCTGTTCTGATGTCAGGAGCACAGCCATTGCCCTGGGTAATTGGTTTTCACGAGGAGAAGGGAAAGTAAACCACAAGGCAAGGCTGGGCTCAAGGGTGGTAGCAGCGGGAGGCCAGATTGTAATTCAATCCCAGGAAGAACAAGAGGGTTCCTGATAGTGCTTTGGATGTTGGGGTCCTAAGTGAGTGATATTTTCAGTGGAGGAGTGAGCAGTGGAAGTTCAATGTCCAAGGAATTGAGAGGTGGTTGACCAGTCACAGAGAGGACTGAGATGAAGACAGAATTGGCAGTAGGGAGGGAGAGACGGAAACCTTCCCTACTTAGCTTGGCAAATGGAGGGCTCCCCCGACCAATAGTGTCAACTTAGACGCACAGACACTGCATGGTGGATCTTTGTGGCTGGTGACTGTAAGCCCCAGAAGCCTTCAGATCCAGCCAATAGAAGTACAAAAGACCCAGTCCCATTTGAATTTCACAGCTGTTTTGTACTATATATATCAAAATATCGTAGAGAGCATACTTACACTATCAATGTGCCTGCTTGTTTGTCTGGCGTTCAGATTTCACTGGGTGCCCCATATTCCCATATTTACCTGGCAATCTACATCGGGCTGCTTCCCTGGGACTGTCTAGCTAGAGACAACATTTCCCAGCTGCTCCCGTGGCTAAGCATGATCATGGAAGTTCTTGCCAGGGTAACTGGAGCAGAAACAAAATATGTGTAATTTTTGTGTCGCTTGCTTAAAAGGCAGCCCCTGTGTGGACTTCCTTTCTCACTCCTTCCTGAGACAGACATACCTTCCAGCCAGCTCTAACTAGTGTGGGCAGAGAAGGCCAGCGTGAAGGAACCTCACCAGCAATGCTTTCGGGGACCACAAGCTTCCTTTACTGCTTGCCAAACAGTGGGTGAGAGAAAGAAATATATTTTCTTTGGGCTGCTATGTTTGGGGTCTCTTTGTTATAGCAACTAGGCCAGTATACTGACTTAACCTCGTTTCCTTTGCTCTTGTCTTTTCATCGTTCAGGTTTCTTCCACTGAACATGCAGCCACATCTCCTGACCCAAAGGGAAGGGGTGCTGAAGGGGAAGCTAATTTGGTCTCTTCCTGGTATAGAGTTCAGAACCTGAGGACTGGCTTGGGCTCACAGGAGTCTGGACATGGGCTCCCAGGAACACTTAGTACCAGTCAGGCCCTTCATTCGGCACAAGGTGAGTTGCGGCCATAGCCTGTCCCATCTGAAAAGTTTCTTCACATTCTCTCTGGCAGTGTAGATGCAGGTGGTTCCTGGGTTGCTTGGGAGAGGGAAAGACTTAAGTGGTATGTGTTGGGGAGACACACTCAGGAAGCCACTTTAGTCTGGGGGTGCTGATGTTAAGGGGAAGGATGTCCTAAAGGAACTTTGCAGAGTTCTGTGGATTCCGCCCCCCTACTCCAGCTTTCCGGACTCCACCCCCTGCTCCAGTGATTGGAAACTACAACTCCCAGCAGTACTAGGGAGAGAAGTGTGAGGACCCAAGGGGGGAGCTAAGCAGGCATTCTGGGACTTTGGCGGATAAATAGGGAGCGGTTTTTCAATGGCTGCTCTGGAGAGGTAATGTCTCTCTCTCTCGCTGGGGCAACAGCTCTCAGACCTTGTGACCGGGGATATCAGTTAGTTGGTTACTAGAGCTCCAAGTCAGCAGAGCTGGTAAGATATTCCAGTTACCTTGTATCTCTCTCTTTCCCTGGGTTGTTCCTTTTCCTTTCCCCTTTTGTAAATAAACCCATTATTGACTTTTTTTGTGTGTGCCTGCAGAACAATTAAATTTTAAGCACATGGGTGAGGCCCACAGACAGGCAGCCCAGTTCACGCTGGGGGGCTACCCTGTAACACTGAGACCACCTTTTTTTTTTTTTTTTCCCTGAGGAAGTCTTGAATCTGGAGTGTAATTGGACTCCAAGATCATGGACCAGATGGACAACAAACTGCAGCTGACTGCATGAAACTCCGTCTAGTGTACATTACCCCTGGTTCTCGCAGCTACCACTACAGCAATGGGAGCGCATGATCAGGACACAGGAAGGCTTTAGACCCTGTGTGGGGGAAGGGGCAGCTCTGAGGGCCCTGCACCCAGCAAAGGGACTCCAGGGGAGGGCAGCCGCGGCTGCGGGTGCTGGGGAGGTACCTCTGTGATCTTCATTCGCAGGCGGTGGTTTTCTGACTGCAGGCCCTCCAGGCGGGATGTGCTTGCTTGGTTCACGCTGGTGACTGAGGTGGATGTTTTAGAATCTTCTTTCTTCTGATTCTGAGTGAACTGGAATCGTCGGTTCTGAGTTGCTGCATCTGGGTTTGTTCTGAGAGTGATGAGCTGAAAGGACAAAGGCCGGGGGAGTGAAAAGATACGCTTGGTCTGTGCCCGCTCCTCTCCACCATCCAGTTTCTCTCAGCAGGTCCTGCATGGAGGCAAAAGGGGTCCCAGGAAGGACACAACCTGGAGCCAGAAGCCCTGGGCACAGGCTGGCACAGGCCACACTCCCTGAGTCCCGGTTTTCTTCTTTGTCAGTGGAAGTCTGATACCGAGAGGATTTACCAGCCTCTCAGCCATCCTGCGCAGCCCCCAGGGCCTTTAGGCCTTGCACCAGCTGAGCCTTGCTCTGTCTTAGCCCTTGTTCCATGTGACAGTAAGCATAATGGATGGAGGAAAGTGAACATCTCTGCTTGTTAGCACCACCCATGCAGGGGCAGACAGGCGACTGTCTCAAACAAAGACATTTTTATGTAAGAGAAAAGTGACTACTCAACTTTGACTGTTCTCATTTAGTTAAGACTGGTTGGAGGCAGGCACTGCAGGGCAATGCCTGAGTGAGCCAGGCCTCCACCCCCTGGGGCCTCACAGAGGCAAGGGGCTGGGCTCTGTGGAAGGTCTGGAAGATGGTGAGGGTGAAGAATTCCAGGGAGATAAAACGACCTGTGAAAAGTGGGTGGCCTGGGTCTCAGGGCACTTATGGGGAAGCTGGTTTGGATGTCGGAAGCTTCTGTGCAGAGAGTGGAGGAGACCCTGCCTTTCTGAAAGCCAGCGGGGCCAGGAAAGAGCTGAGGTGGAGAAGGTGGGTAAGCTCGGGCTAAGCTCGGAGAATCAGCAGGGGGGGAGGCCCGTGTGCAGCAGGGACATCATGGTGTTGCTCTGGAGCCCATGCAGGACTTGACAGTAGAGGGAGTGTACACCAGAGGTACCCACAGTGGCATACTGGGGGACTGACTGGGCCCCGGATGGAGGTGCATTGGGCAGCCGGTAAGACCCTGCCTGTCCTCCACTTGGGTCAGTAACCGCTGCCCAACTCTCAGCTTCCTGTCCTTTCCTCCATCCAAGAGAGCCAGGCCAGCCTGCCTTCTATAGACAAGCCTGCTGCAGAGGCTGCCAAGTGGCCACGCCTCTTGCTCACCTGTCAGCTGCTGGGTGGGAGAATGTTGGAAAAATCCCTCCCCAGGGGACCCGAAGGTCTGCTCTCCAGACAAAGGGAGATGTAAGTGGCTGCTAAAATGGTTATTGTTTTTGACTTACTAATATTCCTTCTTGCTACTCTATTTTAAAGGAATAACTGGAAGGAACAAGGTGTTACATGGAAAGATATTTCATTTACAATATAAAAGTTCTAGAAAGAGTTGTAATGTTCACCAGTAAGGGGGCAAGCAAACATGGAAAGTCCTCTCAATGATGGTCATGAAAGTGGGAGAAACAAAGGTCAGAAGGTCAAGAGGGGAAGAAACCACAAATGCTTCCACAGCTATGCCCGAAAGCACGTCACTGTCGATGCATCGGACAGTGGAATGGGTGGAAAGACATTAGAAATAGTTTGCATTTAGTTAAATAAGTAAAGAAAACATTCACTGTGATTTGGCAGCGACATGGTGAGATTTCTAAAAACATCTGGCTTGACTTTTCTGCATTTTCTAGGCTTTCTGTGATGTGAATGGATTTCATCATCGTCATAAAATAAGGTAAGACTTTGGAAAGCGGAGGAAACCCAGAGGTCGCCAGGGTCTTCAGTGGCCAGAGGCCAGGTGTGTGGGTAGGGCCATCGGCTCCGGGCATGATTGTACCTTTGGCACAAACACCAGGCAGAGGGTGATGGTGCTACAGAAGATGATGACCAGCGCCACGATGCAGAACTGCACATTGGGCTGGTCCCGGGTCAGGAAGGAGACGGCGGCCCCGATGATGCACATAATCCCCACGTTGTAGACACTCATCCCGATGTACTTGCTGTCGTTGAGTGCAGGGATGCTGACGTTGCGGGTCTCCCAAGCTAAGAAACAACCGAACAGCTGAAACAGTGAACAGAAAGGGGAGATGGTGAATACCAAGGGGTGGCACATGTGCTCCGAGTTCTGAAAAACTGCCTGGCGGCGGGTTTCCTAGGAAGTGGGGGCTGGGGCAGAGGAAGCTGGGGGCTGTGCTATCTGCCAGGTCTTCTGATATCACCATCTGTCTCCACTCGTGGCACTGGATTGAGTCTGTGGGTACAGACTAGGGGTGTTACAGCTGTCTGGTTCTTCTGTGCTCCCACCAGTGGTTCACACACAGACATGATTGCAACCACCTCCCCTCATTCTGTAGGGGAGTTGGGGAGGGAAGGAGGGAGAGGAGAAGAGAGAGGAGGAAGGGGCTTGCCCAAAGACACCTTGCAATATGATGGCAAAAGTGAACTCTAGAAGTCAGTCCAGGCTTTTTTTTTTTTTTTTTAAAGATTTATTTATTTGTACATACAGAACTGGGGTACAGGCCAGAGGCTCAGGGGCGGTGAGAGACTTCACCAGAGACAGAGTGGGGAGCAGAACAGGCAGATTGAAGAAGTACACTGCTGAGGGGAGCAGCGGGCGGGTCAGGAGAGGTCTGCCTCGCCATGTGGATCTCCTCTGGGGCAGGCGGGGATCAAACTCATGCGGAAGTGGCTTTAGCTTCTCAGTGCTGTGCTTTAACCCGCTGCACCACCAGGGAGGGCCCCAGGCTTTTTTCTTTAAGGCAGAGAATGCTCCAGTGCTTGGGACTGCTATGACTTCCCAAGGCATAGAGCCACACTGAGTGGAGACTGTTTCCTAGCTGTCCTGGAAACTAGATGTGGTACATGAATAAGTTCTGGTGAAAGTGATGGGTATAAGTTCTGGGAACTGTCTTGAAAGTGGCACAACAGGTTAAAGCACAGCACTAAGAAGCTATAGCAGTCAGTGCAGCACGAGTTTGATCCCCGGCCAGAGAGGTGACCCACATGGCGCGGCAGACCTCTCCTGACCTGTCTGCTGCTCCCCTCAGCAGTGTCCTTCATCGATCTGCCTGTTCTGCTCCCCACTCTGTCTCTGGGGAATCCTCTCACCCCTGCACCTCTGACCTGCACCCCAGTTCTGTACACATAACTACATCTTTAAACAAAAAATACAAGGAAAGGGTATTTTCCTCCTTTCTAATGGATGGAGTGGCGTGTGATGGGTGGAGCTTACGTAGCCATTTTAGACCATGAAGTCATCCTATACTGCAATGCAGAAGTTGCATGATGAAAAGATGCAAGGAGCTGAGATGCTGGGAGCCCCCACACCGACCCCAGATTGCTACCTGAGAGGGCAATGGACCCTCTTTAATCATGATTAGTTTGTGTTGTCTATCACTTGTAGCTTTTTTGCTAACGAGTACATCTCTCAACAAGAATGAACAGGGTAGAGGCCAAACATGATTCGAAACAGGGTGTTGGTTTAGACCATGGGGAGCGGGCTAAGGAGAATAAATTTCATTGTCTAAAACTGCCAGTTTGTGGCAGTGTGTCACTGTGGCCACAGGAAACTCATGCTACCCATGGGTGGCTCAGGCTACTTAAAAGGGGGATCACGCTCCCTGTCATGGAGGGGGGAAGCAGGGAGTGAATGAACAAGGGCTGGGGATACTCTGGGGAGTGGGGAGGTGATGGAAATGGGTGGCACAGAGTGGGTCTAGAGGGCTATGCATAATCAGTTCAGTCAGACTCTGTGGTTCCAGAGCAGAAAGGGCCAACTGCCATAGGACAAACACTGGAAATAGTAAAGCACTCCTGCTATCAAATACAGCTTACATTGATGTGATGAGGTCAAAAGTGTTAGTTTCACTGGAAGAGCTACCGTCATCTCCAACCGATTTTGGGAGTAGGTGGGGAAGATAATGGATGGTCAAAGCATTACAGATAAATCTGGTTTAAAGAGTCAATATGATTCACTATAATCTAATTTCACAGTCTCAGGATCAAGGAAACGAGGCTGGAGGAGGGACGCTGGAGAGTTTAGCTTCAGTTTCCATTCACCCAGGCCTGGGGCAACTCCACGCATCTCAGCACGCTTCCCAGTCAGGTAGCTCGCTCCTTCCCAGGGTGTCCATGGCCTGGAGGCCTGCCTCCTGCTGACTCTGCCCATTGCTGGCGGTTCTGCCTCTGTCTGTGCCACCACAGAGTGGTGGACAGTTCTGGGACATGTCCCCTATCTCCAAGCCCAGGACCTCTGACCAGCTCTCAAGTTCCCATTTCCACTCTGGGAGCCTCCGGAGGGCACCTCTAGGGTCATTACCTCGGAGGGCCCTAAAGGTCCTCAGTCAGCCTCAATGGGAACCTCACAAGGGTCTCAACTAGTGGGGGACAATTTTTGTGAAGGATTCCCTTATACCTGAGCTTCTGCTGTGACCCCTTGGAGGACAAGGCACAATCACTAACTTTCTTCTAAAGCTGCAAATAAGGCTGCACTGGAGCAGCACAACACATCCTACCCGGGAGAGTGCTCCATACCAGCCTTCTGAGGGGAGGCTGCATTTTTTGTGGAAAAGTCTGAGGTGGTGCAGCAGCCAGCTTCCTCACTGGAGGGGTGTCGGTGGAGGCTTTGCACAAAATGTGGTTTGAAGATTCAAGGGTCACCCCAGTAAAGAGTGGGGGTGGGCTGCCCTTTCACAGATTCTTCCTAACTGAAGCTCCACAACAGTGTGAGGTGGGCTGCATGTGAAATCTTAGATTTGAATAAAGGGGTGGAGTGGAAAATCGAGTATTGGGTTTGTAGGTTGGAGGTTACCGGGTGGTCTTCGGTAAATTATTTAAATCTCTAAACCTCACTTTTCTCATCTGTAAAAAGGAGATTATTCCAGTCACCTCCACAGATTTAGAGAGGACCCAATGAGATGTGGAGTGTGAATAAATACACCCTGGATATTCATGGATTGCTCTTTGGAAGTAAGCGGCATAGAGGCTGTTGTGGGGCCATGGATCTGGGGGTTACTCTCCGGTTAAGAATTTCATGCCGAGTGACCTCAGGCAAATGGAGCCTCAGTGTCCTAAACGAGGATGCTTTTTATGCCTATCTCGTAGGGTGGTTGTGAGAAATGCGGTAACGCCTGGCAGATACCAGGCTCGGCTAAGAGTAATGCTTAGTCACAGGGGTGCTGTTTATTTTTATGTTGACGGAGGCCCCTGGGAGTGAGAGCCCTTACAGAACAGCCTCCCCCTCACTCGCCTCCTGCTTGCACCTACCATGAGAAGCCCCTTGTAAGCATAGACGATACCCAACCAGATGGTCATGTGGGTGTTCTCACAGTGCTCCAGGAGAGGCCGGATGGAGATGTCCCGTCCTGCTGGGTCCGGCTGTGAAAAGGAAAACGGAAACTTAGGGGTAGCACTGGGCTCCTTCCCAGCGTAGCAGCCAGGTCCAGTATGAGGGCCCTTTTCCCTCCCTCCATCAGTACCACTGCCTGGGAGACCTATTGCACCCCCACCCTGGGATTCAGGTCTCAACCAGCATTGACTGCCTTCTGCTTGTTGATTGTGAGTCAGCACTGCACCCCAGTCGCCTGTGTTCTTCATGCCTTTCCAGAAGTGCTAAATAAACCAGCACTCTTGAGAGAAGGAAGAGGGTCACTTCTGTGCCTCTAGTCCCTAGGACAAGACCTGGCCCAGAGCAGGCATCTGTAGTATGTGTTGAAAGGGTACAAGAGAGGAGACACAAAATAGGCCAGGAGGCCTATAACTGTTTCTGAGATGAATCTGGGAAGCTAGAAATGCAGTAACTACTGGCTAGGCCAAACATGGGATCTGCTAAGCCCTTTTAAAGAGATTCTCTTGTTGAAAGCCTGCATGGAAAGGACAGTGGTGGCAGCCATGTTATGTATAACATGACCCATCCTGGGCCAGAGCTGATTGGACAACGGGTGGGCACGTGATCCTAGGCAGCCAATCCAGAGGCAGGTCAGAGGTCTATAAGGTTTCCTAGGGCAGAGGAACCAACATACTTGGAGAGGAACCAAGTATGTTCTCTCCCAGCAAGTTGAAGTGGGCTCTCTCTCTGGGAGAGAATCTGCCAGAGAGCAGCAAAAGAAGAAAAGAGACTCCCAGGAAATTAAAAAAAATTTTTTTGAACCATGAGAGTAAGTTCCAGACATTTTTACCCTTTACCCCCTAAATATCTAGCATGTATTTCCTATGATGTCGAATAAAGAAATTGGCTTTCATAACCCCATCAGGAAATTTAACACTGACACAGTATATTATCTAAATATCACTTATGTTCAAATGTCACCAATAGGCCCAATAATGTCCTTTAAGGTCGTTGTGTTTTCTCCCCAAGCAAAATCCAATTTAGAGCTATGTACTTCATGACCATGTCATATCTTCAGTCCCAAATAAGTCCTCAGCCTATGTTGGTCTTTCAGGTCATTGCTAATTCTTCAGAAGCAGATTAATTGTTTTGATAGAATGTCCCTCAACTTGAGTTTGTCTGAAGCTGCTTGCAGACTAGATGCAGGTTAGGCATTCTTGGCAGGAATTCTATGGTGGTGATGGTATTCTTGGTGTTTTGCACCACAGAGGCTTGATGTTGCTGTGTCCCACTGATGATGTTAACTGTGATTATTTGATTTAGGTGATGCCTTCTAAGTCCCCCCACTTCAAAGGTACCATTTCTCTCTAGGACTTAATAAATAACCTGTGGGAGATACTTAGGGCCATGTGAGTATCCTGTTCCCCCCCAAACAGAAACCCATTGGGTTTGGCATCCATTGGTGATCTCTAACCAAGCCACATTACTTTGGTGGTTGCAAAATGGTGGCCTCAAACTCTCATTCTGTTTAAATATTGGCATCCTACTAGAAACAAGATCTTTCCTTTCCTCCCACTTGTTTAGGTATATTAGTTGGACTTATGGGTTCCTTTAGAACTTAGTGTCTTATAATCCATCCACCAACATTTCATGTTGCTGCTCAAACTCTTCCAGATTTGACCAGTGGAAAACCCCTTTATTCTGCCTCATATACTTTTCTAAGGGATCCCTATAATTTTTTGGAGCACCTTTTCTAAAATTTACTTCTTGGTACAAAATGTTCCAGGCTTTCCTTAGATTTTTGTTGTCCAAACCTGGAATTAGCCAGTTCTCTGAGGAATGCTGGATAATGGGATTTAGAAGTTAAGATCTGGGGACTACATGTACTCACTGTTTCTGGGGTATGGCTACTTTTAAGCCTACCTACCATCTTTTTTTTTTTTTTTAAGATTTATTTATTTATGCATACAGAACTGGAGTACAGGCCAGAGGTGCAGGAGTGGTGAGAGGATTTACCAGAGACAAGGCGGGAAGCAGAACGGGCAGATCAACAAAGTACACTGGTGAGGGGAGCAGTGGGCAGGTCAGGAGAGGTCTGCCTCACCATGTGCATCACCTCTAGGGTGGGGATCGAACTCATGCTGAAGTGGCTTTAGCTTCTCAGTGCTGTGCTTTAACCCACTGCACCACTAGGGAGGGCCCCCTCCCTACCATCTTTATCACCTTCCATCCACCCATCCATCCATCATCTATCTCCCTATCACCTATCTATAGATAGACATAGATACAACCCAACGCCACAGCATTCTCCCCTCTCCAACCCAAAATTACACCTTCTTTTTCCACAGTCAGAATCATGGTTTCTAAAAACATCAAAATATTCACTCATTTCCTCACGCCTATAATAGATGCAAGAGTTTCAGAATTGCTACAGCCATATACTACCAACAATGAACATACTAAGTAAGGCTGCGAATTTCTGACCTTTACACCAGTTCCCACAGAGAAAGCCTTACTAAAGAACCCTATTTAGGAGGTTGCGTTCTGCTGGAGCTGCCCTTTGGAGTCCCAGGTCACTGAGGGAAAGGGTCAGCACTCCCCAGGGGCAAAAGCGAGGAAGGGGCAGTCTGGTGGGACGGGGACGTGGAAGGCAAGGCAGCAGCCTAGGCCAGACGAGCTCCAGCATGGCTCTGTTATCCTACACTGACATGCAATCATTCCGACGGCAGCTCAGAACCTCGGCAGAGGACAGACTCCGTCCCACGCCATGTTCAGTGTGAGGAGGGCCATGTTCATGGGGAGCTGACAGCGGTTGTCTGGTTTTCAGACACTCAGGGACAAGGAGCCCCTTCTTCCCACACTTGGTCAATAGTGGCAAAGTTCTTGTATTGAAGCAGCATCTTTCCTCCACTCCCCATCTTTCCTTGGGGCTCCCAGGAGTAATTCCAAGTTCTCCCCTTGAGCTTGCACACCTTCCTCAGGAGGGGTGGTCTGCAGTGACACACATCTCCTCTCCCTCAAGTCGACTGTGCTCCCTTCACTGGTCAAGTTTCCCACTCACCTGCCTACCCAGGCTGGAGCTCAACACCCAGGGGTGCCCCCAGCCCCTGCTCTCGGCCTTAGCTCTCCTTGGCTTTCTAAATTATAGTTCTGCTGATGATTCACATGTCCTATTGATCGCCTACGACTCCATCAGGTAGTTTCCATTGAGCTCTGAGCTCTGTCTACCTCCCTGTGCAGCTGACATTTCAGTCTACCTTTTACCTTGTTAGTAGTCTCCTCCTCCTCCTCCTCCCTCCCCCCCCCCCATCCTGGTCTGCTCTGACCTCTTTGCACTCCAAAATCTTAATTCTTAAACCCGGACTATCAGCATCTCAACAAATTTAAACTCAGTCTTGGCTGCAGAGGAGAAAGGCAGCAAAAGACCAAGGGCCCATCCAGAGCTCAGAGAATCAGTGTTCTGGGGGTGGCGAGTGCCTCTCTCCTTAGTGCATGGGGTGCTGATGTGGAAATAAGCAAATCACCTCCTGGTCACTGTCCTCACCTCATACAGCCCCAGTCTGGCTCCATCAGGTAGTTTCCAGACTGAACAGAACAGACTGTCAGGAGTTGGGGGAGGACTGAGGCTCACATATGCATGAAGTTGGGGGAAATCTCAGAACCATTTTTAAGACTCATGTCTCTTCTTGTCTGATGGATCCTGATTGTGCTGGGAATTGGAGTTTAGAATGGTCTGAACAGTCACATGCATGGGGAGAGACCCTTTGCTCCTGAAGGTGGGGTGGGGGTGGGGTGGCCCCCCAGCACCTGAGCGTTTCCTTCACAGCATCATGCAGCAAAGTGCCACTAGAGGGCGCCAAAGACCCACGTGGAGGTCCTGCCCAGAGGCTACAGCTCACCACCTGCCGGGGTGGGTGGTCAAGTGTCACCAATATCCTGAGCTACTCTAGAAGGTATCCGCTGACCTTAAAGGAAGCCAGATTTCTAGATCCCATGGAGCATGGGTCTCGCTCCTATTCCAGTGCAAAAAGGGTCTTTTGGGGAAGGAAGGGCTGGAGGGTGCAGACTGAACTCAGCTACTGCACCCACCCTGCTCCCAGAGTAGGCCAGAGATTACAGGGTGCTGGCTACTACACTGCCTGGCTTCTCGCCTGTATAGGGCCAGAACCTGCTGTCCAAATAGCTGTGCATTACAGCATCTCCCCCTGACCTAGGAATGCTTCTCCTGTTCTGAGCAACTGGACTATAAAGAAATGCTTTTTGGCCCTCCCTGGTGGTGCAGCGGGTTAAAGCGCAGCACTGAGAAGCTTAAGCCACTTCCGCATGAGTTCGATCCCCGCCTGCCCTGGAGGAGACCCACATGGCGAGGCAGACCTCTCCTGACCCGCCTGCTGCTCCCCTCAGCAGTGTACTTCGTCAATCTGCCTGTTCTGCTCCCCACTCTGTCCCTGGTGAAGCCTCTCGCCGCCCCTGGGCCTCTGGCCTGTACCCCAGTTCTGTATGCACAAATAAATAAATCTTAAAAAAAAAAAGAAATGCTTTTCTCTCTTTATTGTTCTTCCTAACTTGTTTGCTTCCTGGGCAATTACCTAAGTCATCATTCAATCATCCATTCGTTCAATACAAGACTGTCAAGGCTGGTACTGCTGCACACTCCTGGGGCGTGCGGGATGCAGGCGTGACCAGGGCCAAGAAGCCCTGTGCTCGTGGGCCTTCCATTCTAGCGAGATCAGGACGGTTCCCTGAGAGATGGCCTCAGAGGGAGAGTGGGTTGATCTCACTTGAAAAAGGCACCTGAATGACACCAGGAGCTCCCTTGTCTGAGTGATAATGAGCCGGTTGCTAAACTGCCGGCCCCACCCGTCCCCTGTTCACGCTTCATAAGAATCCAGCAAGGCAGAGTAGTCATTTTATAGATGAGGACACTGAGGCACAGAAAGGTCAAATATCTTGGTCCAAATCTCCAGCTAGTAAACGCCAGAGCTGAGATTCAAACCCAGGGCTGCTGGCTGTAAGCCAGTGTTCGCTCCTCCCTCACCACGCGCTTTCC